GGAAGGAAGGAAGGAAGGAAGGAGGAAGAAGGAAGGAAGGAAGGAAGGAAGGAAGGAAGGAAGGAAGGAAGAAGACCTGAAATCAAATCTGGTCTCAAACACTTACTAACTACGGAACCCTGGGCAAGTCACTTAACCTCAATCTGCCAGAGTTTCCCCAACTGTAAAATGCGGATAATAATAGCACCTCCGTCCCAGGGTTGGCGTGAGAATCAAATGAGATATTTGTAAAGCACTTAGCACATAGTGGATGTTATAGAAATGCTTCCTCCCCTTCCTCTCATCTATTCATTTGTTCTCCAATTGTGTCCAAATCGTAACCCCATTTGGGGTTTGCCATTTCCTTCTCCAGATGAGGAAACGGAGGCAAACAGGGTTAAATGACTTGCGCAGAATCACAAACCTAGAAAGAGTCTGAGGCTGAATTTGAACTCAGAAAGATGAGTCTTTCCGACTCCAGTCCCAGAGATCTACCCCACGCAGCTCCACCTAGCGGCCCCCATGTATCTATGATGTATGAATTAAGAAAGGTTACCTTGTGTTCTAATCTTCATGTTGCTAACAAATACCTGTCTGGGAGGCAGCCTTTGGCATATACAGTATCAACCTCATTTAACATTGTATAAATTATGTCCCTACTGTTTCTAACGCTTTGGTATTATCTGACATGCTGTAGAGTACAGTCTGTTCACTTCAAGGCTTTGCACACAGCAGGTACAGGATGAGTAGAATTCAGCCTATGTGCTCGAGAACCCTGGGACTCGGGTGCACAGTTCTGTGAAGGGGAAAGAGTCAGACGGCCCGAGGGTTCTAGTCTACCCAGGAGGCCATTGAATCCATCCCATACAGGAACAGAATCTTCACTAGAAGACACAGCACATGCTTCTCCAGCCTCAGCCTCAAGACTTCCAAGGAAGGGAACTCGCCTCTCAAGGCAACCCGTTGACCTTTGGGATGGCTCTTATCCTCAGGAAGTTTGTCTTGATTTCAAGCCAAAACTGGCCACTTTTCAGTCCCTTCTTCTCCTTGCCCCACCCCACCGCCAGCCCCTCTGCTCCCAGGTCTGCCCTCTGAGGCCAAAGAACATAGCTAATTCCCTCCCTACATGCAAGTACTGCAAAACAGCCATCATGATCCTCTTGTGTCTCCTCCAGATTCCGTACCACCAGTTCCCTCAGCTGATGGTAAAATCTGCATGCGAAGCCCTTCATCGTCCTGGTTTCCCACCACTGGAAATTTTCCATCCCATTAATGTCCTTCTTAAACCATAGTGCCCAGACTGAACACAGGCCTCCTCATGAAGTATTTGGGACTACCACCTCCTTGTACCTGGAAGCTACTGCCCCACTTTACATGGTTCAATATCAGCTTTTTGGGAACCCCATTACATGGCTGACTCATACCCTTTCTGGGTTTCAGCTTCCTATTCTGTAAAATGAAGCAACTGCATTCAAAATGGTCATGCAGATACTTGCCAGACTATAGTCTATGAGTATATGATAAAAAAAATATGTTTCCTTTAAAAATAAAAACAACATTTGGTAAACTTTTCTAAACTGGCTCACTGGGGCAGCTAGGTGGCACAGTGAAGAGAACATAGACAGTGGAGTCAGGAGGACCTGAGTTCAAATGTGACTCCAGATCTTACTAGTTGTGTCACCCTGAACAAGTCACTTAACCCCAATTTCCTTTTAAAAAAAATAAGCTCACCCATTCTCTGCTTCCTTGGGCAAACTCTAGACCAAGTCATAAACTCCTTAGCAGTCAGTTCATCACCTAATATTAGATGGAACCATGGGAACTCACCTATCCAGAGCCCATTTATCTAATGTCCTAATCTCTAAGAAGTCAGCATTCAGGAACCAACCTTATTGTTGCCTTTTGTATTTCTGTCTTTTGCTCCAATCACTTAATTCCATCAGTCACCCTGCCCTTCTCTAGTTAACTCCATGTATCTTCCAACCTTTTTTAAAAAATTGAATTAAATCTATTAACTCTCCTTCCCACTTTTCCTGTTTAAAAAGGAGGAAAAAATGCCCTTACAATCAGTATGCCTACTCAAGTGGAGAAAAATCCCACACTGGCCATGTCCTAAACCTTACTCTTGTCTGCACTCTGAGTTCATCCCCTTCTGGGGATCGGGGGAAGGTGGTCCATGCATCTCCAACCTGTTAATTCTAATCTTCTTTGGACTTAGAGTACCACAGCAGCAAGGTTGTAAGAATTTTGTGTTGAATAAGAGCAATAGGTTTAGAGTAAATACCCAGTGGGTTCTCCTTGAAGAAGATGAAGAAGCTTGCATGCACATGCACACATTTTGGAGCTAGGGTGTTTCTTTTTGGGGATCTTGTACATTCTTGATTTTGTTCTGACCAACGACTTCTAGAGAACAACATATCAAATAACTAAGGACCCCAGTGACCTCAATTGGAAGGACAGAGTTCTTCTGAGTTGACTTGTAGCCACCAAGTTCCACATACCTGCACTCTAGGCTGTTGATAAGAGCCCTAAACATCAAAGTTACCCACAGTGGGTTCTAGGTAACTACATCCTGCATCGTTTTTTTATAGAACTGGCTGGGTTCCTGACAACCGAGTTCTAGAGAGTCATGTGCCCTATAACTGAAGTACCCGCCCCCCAAAAAGCAAGGTCTTGGGCATTGGTCAGATGGGCTTTGGATAAGTGAGTTCCCATTGACCTATCTAGCATATGACAACTGGCACCTGGGAATGGGTTCCAATCTGTAAATCTGGTGGGAGGCATTTCCTTCAAGGCCTGAAGACTCAGTATGAGACAGGGAGGAGGGGGTTGCTCTGATGACTTTCTCAGAATATCTGAGCCCTCCAAAGCTATGTGGCTGAGAAGCTAAGGGCCAATGGGCCAGCATTGATACTGACAGGCTGTGGCACCCTCTCAGTGCCCCAGACAACTCAACAACTCTAGACTGCAGACAAGCTGTATTGGGAGAGGGAGTGTCCTCACCAGGAGTTCCCTACCTCCTATGAAATCACAGGTCCAGGAGCTCATCTTCTCCAAAAGGAGGACTCAGAGCTGTGAGGGACCATGGAGATCACCTGATCACAGCCACTCTCAGTTCACAAGTGGAAAAAAAATGAATTCTGCAGATTTAGGTCTTAGAATCACAGATTTAGAGCTGGAAGGGAGGTCCCTGAGACATCCACCTAATTTTACAGATGAGGGAACTGAGTCTCAGAGATATTCAGTGCCTTCCTCAAGCCCTCACAGCAGGACTGGAATTTCCTAATCCAGTATCTTTCCTGGACCAGGCAAACCCTGGGCAAGGTGACTGATGAGGGCCAGTACATGGCAAGGCTAGGATTTCAGCCCAGGTCTTTTGAATCCAATCCAATGTTCTCTCCATCACACTATAACTGGGGCAGACATCTGACTTCATTCATGCCTCCCATTCTTTCCACAACCCCATTGCTCTTGCTCAAAAAAGCCCATTATCCCCTCTCACTCCAATACACACACCCACATACCCCAAGGATACACCTTCTACCTAGCTGTGTGCAGATAGGATATAATGGCTAGAGCACTGAACCTGCAGTCTGGAATACCTGAGTTCAAATCCAGCCTGTGTGACCCCACAAAGGCCACTGAACATCTCTCTGACTCAGTTTCCTCAACTGGAAAATGAGGATAATAACAGCACCTATCTTGTCAGGGTTGTTGTGAGGACATATGAGATCTTTGTAAAGGGTTAGCAGAGTTCCTGCCGTGTAAGAGTATCCTTCCTTCCCTCCTTAGCTAACCCATCACGCCAGGAGTTGGTCTGGACACCTTCCCTATTAGTTCAACCCAATGGGCACCCCAGTCACTTACGTGGACAGAGTGTAGGAAACACCCCCAGGTGAAGTTAGAGATGCCTACGGTGTCCAAGGCTTCTCTGACAAAGTCATCTGAAGACTTCACCAAGAATTTTGTGGGTGGCATCTGGCTCATGTTACTGGAAACTACCAGAGGAGTAAGAGTCTGGAGAAAGGAGTTGATGACTAGATGGAAGGGTCATAGTTCTCACTCTGCCCACCTCCCAAAGCTTCCTCCCCTTAGCTGGTCACCCATCTTTGCCCCACCCTCCTGCTACCTCACCAAACCTACTGCCTCTCACCAATCCCACTTACCTTGGCCCCCTTGCCCTCTTCCCAAGCTCTCCCCCATCTCTCAGCTCCTCACAGACTTTCCCATCCATCTCTTCAGGCCCTAACAATCACACAAGCACATTCACACTCACACCCACACCCATACCTGTATGATGACTCCAGAGGACCGGTATTCCAAGGCCACAGCCCGAGAGAAGCTATTCATAAAGGCCTAGCAGTGAGAGAGGGTGAATCACAGAATTTTAGCATCAGAAGACACCAGAGTACAGTAAGTGGAACCCACCTGAAGAGGAATCTTCACTACACCTCAATGAGAGTATCCTCCAGCTTCTGCTGGAAGACCTCCCAAGATGGATGCTCACTACCTCCCCAGGCAGCCTCCACTCTGGGGCAGCTCTCATTGACAGGACCCTTGTTCTGCCCTGGCACCTCATTGCTCCTGGTTCTGCCCTCTGGGTTCAACGAGAACAAGAGTGGTTCTTGTCTACATGACATTCTTCCAAGTCCTGGAGAGAGTTCCCAAGTCCTGCATGAAGCCTTTTCTTCTCTGGGCTAAATATGCCTGGTTCTATAGACAACCAAACAGCTAAGAAGTATTTAATAGCCCACTCTCTGCAGGGGTTCTTCTAGGCACTAGAGATAAAATAAAAACAGAAAGCCAAACAAAACAAAACAAAACAACCAAAACAATCCCTGCCCTCCAGAGGCTTCCATTCTATCCTGAGAAACATGTGTCCATATGCATACATATCAAACATATACAGCTAGTGGCCCAATGAGAGTGCTGGATCTGGCTTCAAGAAAATCGAGTGCAAATCCTGCCTTAGACATGCAGTGGCTGTGTGACCCTGGGCAAGTCACTTAACCTCTGTCTCTGTTGGCCTCAAATTCCACATCTATAAATGGGCATAAAAAGAGTACACACCTCTCAAGGTTTTGGAGGATCAAACGGGATATTTGTAAATACATTGCAAACCTTCAAGCTTATTCAAATACTACTAACTATTGTTTATTTAATACCAAGTAATTGATAGGTGAAGCACTTGGGGCAGTGTGAATGATCAGGAACGCCTCATGTAGACAGTGGCAATTGAGCTGAGCTTTGGAGGAAGCTGGAGATTCTAAAAGCTGGAGGTGAGTAGGGAGAGCAGGACAGAAATAGAGTCAGGGGTGGCGGGTGGAGTGGGGGAGTACAGTATGCTATGTGGGCATCAGCAGCAAAGTCAATTCTGCTGGGCTCTAGCATGCATAGTACAGATAGGGACCACATAGTCCAGTGAAGCGGGCTGGATTCAGGCTGACCTCAAATCTATTTGAAACTTACCACTTGTGTGACCATGGGTAAGTCACTTAAGCTCCCCAGCCTCAGTTTTCTCATCTGTAAAGTGAGGACAGTTGGACTAAATGATCTCTGAGGCCCCTCCCAGTTTAGAGCAATGATTAAATCCCACCCATACTACTTGCTACTAGCTGAATGATCATGGGTGAGTTACTTCTGTTCTGTGGGTCTCAGTTTCCTCACATGTGAACTGAGGGATGGCGTCTGAGGGCTATTCCAGCTCTCCATTTCTGATCCTGCTGTGCTCATGAGTAACAATGCTGGGAAGGGAGTTGCAAGCCTGGCTATGAAGGTTTGAAACACCAAAGAGGGAGTTTGTATCAGACCAGATTCAAGGTCCTGCTGGTTCATCAGCATCTTCTCCAGCTCATCAATTTTCCGCCTAAACTGTGGCACAGCCTAAGATTGGCCTCTCTTCAGGGCATAGTTCCCAAACTTTCTAATTCAGTCATTTCAGTCACCTCAGACTCTCTTCACCCTTGGTCACAAAGAGTGAGACACTACTAAAATGACCGATTGACAAAACTTAGCCGCAAAATGGCAAAGACACTTTAGTGATTTGCCATTTCCTTCTCCAATTCATTTTACAGATAAGGAAACTGAGGCAAATAGGGTTAAGTACTTACCCAGGGTTACATAGCTAGTAAGTGTCTGAGGCCAGATTTGAATTTAGGAAATGAACTTCCTGACTCCAGGCACCACAGTGCTCCACTAGCCACCCTATGGTTCCCGAAGCAATATAGGAATTTTTCCACTGACCTTGACAATTTCCTGTGTCATTCAAAGTCTGGGTCAGATTTCTCCTTTCTAGAAGTCTTTCCTGACACCCTGGCCCCCAGGGCTCTTTGACCTCTCTCAGCTTTTACACAATGCTTCTGGATCAGATTGGCTAGCCCCTTCCCACCCTGACTCTTCTAGGAAGCCTTCCCTGCCAGAGGACCCCTCCACATGAGGTCACAAAGAGTTGGCCACAACTGAAACAATTCAACAGCCTATTACTTGCCCATGTTCTTGCCCAGGTTTCTCTGACTCTGGGTACAGCACTCTACCCACTGCACTATGTAGTCTCCTATCTATGCCACACATACTAGAAACCAGTGGGATTGGCCTTCTTGCTACTGCTCACACAGGCTCAAGGAGCTTATATTCAATCTAGAGAGAAAATAAATCCCTAAATATTTGTTGTTATTTTTTAATCTTCTAATTCTTCATGACCTCATTTTGGGTTCTCTTGGCAAAGATACGGAAGCAGTTTACCATTTCTTCTCCAGCTCATTTTACAGATGAGGAAACTGAGGCAAAAAGGCTGAAGTGACTTGCCCAGGGTCCCACAGCTAGTGTCTCAGGCCAGATTTAAACTCAGGAGATGTCTTCCTGACTCCAGACCAAGCCCTCTGTACACTATGGCACCACCTAGTGTCCATATTCCCAATAAACTCATCAAAATCAACACAAGGCCAGGCTGGTTTGGGGGGTTTTTTGAAGGGGATGTGTGGGTGGGAGCCCAAGCATCTGAGAGGCTCAGAAGAAGCTTTCCCAGTTTGGTGAACGAGGCCCCTCACTATCCTGGTTGCATTTCTTTGGATGTTTTCCTATCAGTTTTCTTCTAAAGGGTAGCACTCACAATTGACTGTGAGAGTCTTGATGTGGTGCTGCCAGAGTAGAGTACGAGAGATATGACTGCTCACCAGCTTGTTACTGGAGCCAAGATCTAGTTAGCTTTTTGGCTGCTGGATCACAGTGATACTAGATACTGAACTTGCAATCATTGAAACCTCCAGATCTTTTTCAGAAAACTGTTGTCCAACCAAAAAACTGGATTTGTGCACTAATGTAAAGCTACATTCATCCCTATATAGTTTCATGTGATTAGCATCCACCCAGCCTGTCATGATCCCTTCACTTCCTGGCTCTGTCATCCATTCTTGTTGGGTGGGGTGGGGTGGCAGTAACCTGGAGAGAACACTGGAGGCAGAAGGACCTGGCTTTAAATGCAGCTCACACACTTCCTAGCTGCATGACCCTGGCCAGCTCACTTCAACTCTATCTGCCTCAGTTTCCTCATCTATAAATATGCATAACTGCAACTACTTCCCAAGGCTGTTGTGAGGACAAATTGAGATAATCTTTCTAGAGTACTCAGCACAGTGCCTAACACATAGTGGGCACTATAAAAATGCACATTCCAAAGTTCTTTCCCTCCCAATTTTGGGTCAACTACGCATTTGAATAAACATTTCATCTCTGCCTTTCTAAGTCAACGATTTAAAAAAAAAACCACTTAGCAGAATACGCCCAAGCACAGATCCCTCTGGCACTCCAGGAGACTCTTTCCAAGTTGATATTAACAAACTATAAATGAAAACTCTTTGTATCTGGTCATTCAAGTGTTTGAGACTCCTGCACTTAATACTTACAATAGTTAGCATTTTTGTTATCTTACTATGTTTCACTCCTTTCACTAAGTGCTTTACAATTATCTTCTCATTTGATCCTCAAAACAACCCTTGGAGGTAAGTACTATTAGTATCCCCATTTTACAGGTGAAGACACTGAGGCAAAGAGAGATTAAGTGACTTGCCCAGGGTCACATACCTAGTAAGGCTCTGAGTTCCAGACCCAGCACTCTGTGCACTCTGCCGCCCCTAGTGGCCTCAATCAAGCTGCTCTAGCCCACATCTCTCTTTTCCACACATCATGAGATATATTATCAAACACCTGGGTGAGATCCGGTAACTGCTATCTATTGAATACCCTTGATCTGTGCTAGTTTTCTGCATCTGCCCTAACAGGAAATAAGGTTATTTTGGCAAGACCTGTCGTTGCTGCAGTCCTGCTGGCACTCTGTGACCACCACTTCTTCCTTTGGACATGGTTCCCTTTCCTGGGGTGACAAGAAGGCTTCTGACCAAAGGAATTCTGGAGCCTCAGGACAAAGGATATGCTAGAGTGAGAGGTCTCTGGGGGTCAGCTCAGGGCTCAGAACATAGAATGTTAGAGCTGGTTGGAGGAAATGATAGAGACTGGAGGGACTTTAGAACAGGGAATACTGAGGAGGGGTACATTGGAATAGGAAATGACAGAGCTGGGAGGGACTTTAGAACAGAGTGTGTGAGGGACAGGAGGGGCCTTAGAGCATAGCATGCCAGAACTAGGAGGGAGTGGTCAAGATAGTGAGTTACAGGCCCCGGTGGAGTTGAACTTTCCCAACATTTTCTGCCAAAGAACTTTAAAATATTGCTTCAAATCAAATTTTGGAGCAGCAAAGCCAACAGAAGGTCACAGGAAGTCATTATTCCAGCTTAAGACAACTTAGGAGGTCAACAGGAAAGGTCTGGAACCTCGGGGTGGATAAAGGCCCAGAGTGTGACAGGGGCACCCAATGGTGGGTCTTGCAGCTGATTGCAGTGACAGTGGCAGCTTTGGGAGCTCTCAACACACAGATGGTAAACGGGGTGGCACAAATGCTCATAAACAGATTACAAGGGACCTTTGGGTGGCACTGGGTGATTGGGAACTCTATGGCCCATTCACAGTTCTGTTCATTCCATCCCAAAGCCTGAACCTCTTTCTTGTTCCTGGTAACTTCAAAGGGTCTGGCCTCTTTCAGATGTGGGACTCATTTACCTTAGTAGTCCCACATAACGCCAAGAATGGGGAAGGCTGTCTGCCAGCCTCAGAGGATATGTTGATGATGACTCCTCATCCCCTGCAAAATCCGAGAAGAAAACTGAGAATGGCAGAATCAAAGACAAATGAGTGTCTGGGGGTGGGGGTGTGTGTGAGATAGGCAAGGAGGTCTGTATGGATGGGAAGCAGGCCTTAGAGATGGGGAGAAGGGGATGCCTGGGCCCCTACCTGGCTGCCATCTGAGGCGGAAGAAGGAAAGGCTAAATTTACCCAATGATCCACCCTTGGCACACTGCCTGGACTCTCCCCATATCCCTCATCCCACTCCCTTCCATCCCCTGCCAATGATGTTTCCTGTCTCTTCTGCCTCAGTCTTACCTGAACCATTGACAGCATGTTACAATTCATCACATCTGTGAAACTCTGGGAAGACAGAGGACACCTTTCATTTTTCATGGGCCCCAGAGTCTCTCACTTCCCCCAAAACCAACCTGGCCATGAATTCTCAGGTTGGAGTTTGCTGAGACATTAAAGGCTTTCTCAACCTTCAAGGCTCCCCCCCCCTCCGTCCCACTTCCCCATCAAGATCCATCTCCTCTAGGAAAATTTCCCTAAGCACTCAAATCCCTCCCCCCCAAGCTTGACCCAAGGCCCAATTAAAACAAATGATACCACATTTGTAAATAAATACACGGACAATAAATAGACTTAAATTGGAACAAATTGTCAGAATTTTGAAGGCAACATTTTCTCAACATTGATTATTATTATGGCCACAAAAGCAAGGGGAGCTTACATTTCTCACCTGATTTAAATTTCCAAAGCACTTTCTGCCTGTTAGAAAGGTTGGGGAGGTGGGGGTGGTGAGATGGAAGGTAAGATGGAGTAATTAAGGAAGGGGCACATAAAGAGGGCAGGATTAAGGAGGCGAGTAGAAGAGATGGAAAAATTGAGAGAAATGGAAAAGGGCATGAGTTGGGTGGGGGTGGCAGAGGTGGGGAGGGGTAATGTAGCTTCCTCTACCTTGCCTGGATTCTTCACATCCATTAGCTTCTGGGGGATTATCTTGGGAGCTACTCCAACATTGTTGACTGCAAAAAAAACAGGTCAGTACCACAGAGCAAGGGGATGGAGAGGAATTCTGGGGCAGGACTGAGAAGGGAAGAGGGAATGGGTGTGTACCTAGAATGCCGATGTCTAGGCCCTCCAAGCCTCTCTCAACTGTCTCATAGATCTCTAAGCCTCCACTGAAGTCCACCTGGATGACTCTTGTTTCCTTACCATGGAGTCTCTCTGCAGGAAAACTCAGAGAATTCAGAAACAGAAGCTTAATGCTGCTCCTTATTATGTAGATGAGGAAAGGCCCAGAGAACACATGGGACTGACTGGCTCAGGTTCACACACAGCCCGTGTCTAGCAGAGCTGTGTCCAACCTGGGTCTTTTGGTTCCAAATCCCACTGTGGAACCTTGAACAGCCTCACTTTTCTCCCATGGCCCTCCTTTCTAGTGCAGCCCTCACCAATGTCCTCTGCCTCCCGACGTAACTTGCTGAGATCTCAGCTCACCAGTGCAACATTGAGGCCTCTCGGGTCAGCTGTATGGAGGCAGGAGAATGGGGAGACTGAGGGAGTGGGCACACAGAACCTCCCACACCTACAGAAGACTCAAGAGGGTCCATCCAAATAAGCAGGCGTGCATAGAACAAAGAAGGACATGGGAAATTCATAGGAACCCCTGAGCAGAAACACTCAGGACAAATATGGATTTACTTGTCTGTCTGTCTTTGTATCTATCCTATCTACTTCTCTTTCTATTATCTATTCATCTTTGTGTATGTGTGTATCTATTTATGTATATACATTCACATGTAACATTAATTGCTACATTTATATGTCTTTACACAGGAATCCCCCTGCAAACACATGTCCTGAGGCTCTAGAAAATGATCAGGGCACATAGAAGAAAGCACGTGTAGGAGAAAACACCGAATGCATTGGACCGTGTATGTAGAATGCAATGGAGTAGAGATGTGGGACCATGTCCAACTATACTAAAGACAGATTCAGTTGGCCCCAGCCACCCCCCCCAACTTACCTCATGAGCATAGCTCCTGCCGATTCCGTTGTGGCCCCGGTTACCACTGTGAGGAGAGAGATCTGGGAGTCCCTGGGGGGAACCCTCTGCAGGACCCACCCAATGGGACATCCCAGGAAGGGGCAGGAGAGAGCCTCTACTCTCCACCTCCTCCTTCTGAGTTCTACCTCCGTGGCCCAGGAATTGAAAAGGACTTTAAGCTGTTTATGCAGTGGAACTCAACCTGGAAATGTGAGTCTGCACAAGGGGAACGTGCTTGCAGGGGGCCTGTAGCCCTAGGGGCATGCCTGAATGTGAGCACATACATATGCAATACTGAGATCAGAGGACCTCAGATGTAAAGCCTCCCAGGACTCTGGAAATCATTTAGTCCAGCTGCCCCCAATGTTAAAAAACCACAAAAACAAAAAAAGCCACCCGAGTCTCAGCCCTCCTCGCAGTCACCCATGTCATGGAATCATATTCTAGGTTCAGACAGACCTTGGGGCCCCTTGGTGAGACATGTATTTTATAAACAAGGAAAGTGAATCCCAGAGTGGAAGTGACTTGCCCAGGGGGGTCACAGGGGTTCCGAAGCAGCTTGACTGAATTTTGAATCGAGGTCCTGGAATCCTCCATCCACGGTCCACAGACTCCTCTGAGGCAGCAGGTCACAGGACCCCTATCATCAGTGCCCTTGCCCCTTCCCTCCCCCTTGGGCCCCTTTCCCTCCCTCCTTCTCCCACACACCTGCCCAGGCCCCTTGTCTCCTGAGAGAAATGCCAAGGCCCAGGCCAATCTGGGGCAGGGCATGGCCCAGCCACCAGGCTACCCGCAGAAGCCACCAGGTTGCAGCCACAGTGCTGAGCATTTGGAAGGCTGAGCCACCTGGTTCCATCCACGACCCCATCCTGGACAGGACAACCTGGAGGTTCGGCAGGACAGCCTTGGTGAGGGGCAGGCTCAGCTCTACAGAATCCAGAGGATGAAAGGCCACAGGATCACCCAGGTCCTAAGGTCTGAGGGGGAGGGGTCACCTGGCAATGAAGGACTGGTGGAACGCCCAGGTGGAATGGTAATGGGCGGGGCCGGCCAGCCTAAGGCCTGGCATGGAGGAACCCTGGCATCCTGGAAGGAACCACAGTGCTGCCTGGTGACCACCATTGGTTGTACATGGTGGGTACGGATTTTGGGGACTGTGCCCTGTGCCACCTCCTCCCACTATATCCCTCCATTCCAAGGACACTCGGCCATCTCTTTCCAAAGACTTTATTGAAACCTGGTGAGGGTATAGAGGGTGAGGCAGCTCCCAGCTTACAGGCCCTTCCCAGCCCCCAACCCAGTGGAGGGCCCCTGGAACCCGGATCTAGGAGCACTGATACAGCCTCTACCAATCCTTCCCAGAGACGCCATCAAAGGACACTAGACCTTGGGAAGCACAGTGGGGGTGGAACACAGGTGAGGAGGGCTGCTCCTCCACTATGCCCGGGGGCTGGGGGCTGGCTCAGCAGGAGATTGGATGTCAGGCAGCAGGTGGCAGCTGGCTGCGATGTCCAGGTGCTCGGTCAGGGCGCAGTGGTCGCTGCAAGCCAGGCGGATGCTGTGGGATGCCACAAAGCCCATGGGCTGCCAGGCCGGCTACATCGAGGCCAGCTTGCCAGTATACACCACGCACCATGGCGCTCACATCGTGGCCCAGGCATGTATTGAATGATTGAGCCAGGCACCAGAGCAGTGGCTGGGAATATAAAAAAAAAACTGAAAAACCCAAACACTTCCCAATTCTTGCCATCAGGGAGCTTATATTCCGGGCTGGAAGACAGCAAGACAGTAACGTTGCATGCACAAATGCATGCTAAACAGATGGAAAGTGCTCTCAGAGGGAAGAGGTGGGATCGGGTGGGGAAGGGACTTCCTGCAGAAGCTGGGCTATGTATCAGGTATTCTCCCAGGCTCTGGCTATACAAGGCACAGATTGTAGAAATGGGAGGTTTAGGAGGAGGGGTAGGTTGGAGAGGAAAGATTGTGGCTTCTATTAGGATTCTCAGCTATGGGACATCCAGATGGAAATATCCAGCAGACAGTGGTGATGTGAGCCCGGAGCTTGGCAGACAAATGTGGGCCACATATGGGAGTCATCTGGGATGTGGGATGATCCTAGCTATGGGGAGCAGGGAAGGCGGGAAGTGGGATCAGCCAAGTTATTATCAGGTGGAAGGAGGAGCAGGTGGGAGGAGTACATCCTGAAAACCTAGAGGAGAGAGTATTCAGAGGAGAGGATGGTAGGCTGGGTCCAAAGCAGCAGAGAGATGGAGGAAGAGTGAGAAAAGGTCATTGGATTTAGCAATAGAGAAATTCCTAGTGGCCCAGAAGAGGGCAGTTTCAGTCAGGTGGTGAAGATGGAAATCAGATTGCCTGAGGGTGGAGAAGTGAATGGGAGGTGAGAAACTGATAAGGGGTGAGAAAGTGATAAAACAGGAGGGAGAGTGAAATCTGGAGCGCTTCCTGGAGGATGTGAGCTCAGAACTGAAGGGGTGGGCTGCAAAGGAGAGACCTGACCTGAACTTGGCCTTCCAGTTTCCAGCAGCGGGTAGAGAGCTTCCATGAGAACCCAAGCATCCGAGGGCTGCCGTGTGACACTTATATCAGTCAGACAATTACCTTAGTGAGCTATGGCCCCCTCCATCACTAAGTCAGACCCTAGAGCGGACGGGAGAAGGGCCCCAGCATGACCTAATGTTCTCCCCATGGGGAGTTGGCCCAACCTTTCCTTGCGGAGTCTGTCCCTATCCCAGATGTTCTGAGGTCCTTTCCTTCCTCTCCCCAACTCTATCCCCCTGGAAAAGGGCCACAGAAAGGGCCTCCCTATACTTCCTCTGGAAACATGGAAAGGGACGCCCATTGTGGCCTCAAGAAAAACATCCTTCCCAGAGACACAGAGACATCCTCCTCAGGGACATAGACTTCAAAAGAGACACCTCCCTACACTATGAGAGTAAGCTCTCCAGAGACAGAGTGACCTTCAGACACACACACAAAGAGAACTCCAGAAACAGAGAAACTCCACTAGAAAGACGACCCAAAGAGAGATTCCTCCAAGGACAGAGACACCCTCCCATCAGAGATATGGAGAGACCTCTCACACGGACCAAAGCCATGCCCTCTGCCCACCACTCAGGTACAGATAAATCCTCCAAAGACACAGAAACCCCTCCTCCAAACGTGGAGAGATACGCTTCCCTGCCTGCCTGCCCACCCAATATGTGGAGTGAGTGAGCCGGGACCCAAGGCCAGCTAGTGATGAGCCCTGGCTTCTCCCTTGCAGCTCTCTAGCTGAGCGTCTGTCCTGCCTGGGGCCCTCAGAGAGCGAGCCTGCTTGGGAGGCAGCTGCAAATGCTCTTGACCATGCGACCTGCCTCTTCCACCTCCTCTTTCAAGAACTGCAGGTCAGGAAGCCCCTGGGCCCCCTCCCAAACTGTCTAGAAAATGGGGACCTGGGGGTTGTGACAAGGGTCAGATCAGGATCAGGCCGAGATCCAGCCAAGCCAGAGACTGGACTAGGAGAGAGGAAGAGAGGAAAGAAAGGGGAGGGAGCAGAATGGAGGGAGGAGATAGATATTTACACTGACAGCCCAGCTGGGGGAGGGGGAGGCACAACCTTGGTCTGGGCCTAAACTCCCAAAGGCTCCCGTTGCCTATTGACTGCTATACTCAGAAGTGTGGAAGCCTGAGGCTGCGCCTGGGCGTGCTGGTCCAGGATGGGTGTGACCTTTTATGTCCTTTGTGCTCAGGTCTGTGACTCTGTATGGAATGGGTGCCCATGAATTAAATGAGCTTCAGCTTTGGTTACATGTGTGTGCTCAACCCCTCCCACCC